TACACCTATACGTATGTATATAGCACCGTACGTAGCCAACAGTACTAATTGGAGGTGCAATACGAAAGAGAGCTCGTTCAATACACATGGTTATTGTAAATATGCTAGAGCAGATAAGCAGCACCGAGTCCAATAATTATCTGAACTGACTGAACTTTAAGACGAAAGGTTTTTTTTCTTCATCATTTCAACTTTACCTTTAAAATAACGCCTCATTCATTGAAATTTCCATAAACATTTTCGAGAATATTTTGGATATGTATGATTTACAGACTAGCAATGCAATCTGCATAACGTTGTAGGTATGTTAAACTTCTTTTGCACTGTACGCAGCCAACCGTGCTAATCAAAGGTGCGGGACTTTTACTCCACATATGCAGCATGTCCTTTTGTTTCACCAATATGACAGAATACTGTTCCGTTATTTATTTCAATAATACGTTCTGAATCCCTTCTGATATGACCAATCCCATTACATCTCAATTTATGTCACTTAAACCATTTTCCAATTCTATTCCCGTGTCTTCATTTGAAAGCGATCTTACATTTAGCATTCCAACATACATGTGAATTTCTGTCGGAATACCACGTCAATTGTGCTCGTGTCTCCTGCCAGAATTAGGCCTTTGTACACAGAATATTGATGGCACATATTGTCGTGTCAGTCCATGGGATTGGGGAGGGGGGGGTAGGGTTTGGGACTTCTTCATCAGGAGTGGACAAAGGCACGTCCACTACACCCCCACACACCGGAGGGGCAACGGCAGCCGTTATGCCCCATTAGGGCCCCTGCCAGCGTAACCCAATAAAGATCAAGAATCTCTCCCACGGTGACCCAAACCAGATTGGGAGACAGCGATCTTAAATCAGAGCAGGGAAAATCCTATCACGTGGCTTTCAGAGATCGTATTATTATTAGCAGAGACTCAACATTTAGCCGTGCAATAGACGTGAGTAGCTGAACTGTATTACCCACCCCAGAACCCACACCAAGCTGCTTTGAAAAATCCTGATTTATAGCACCGGGACTTGGGGGGGAGCCGCAGCGGCGGTGCAAAGGGCCAGATAGAGGTGGTATGCCATCTGCGCCAGAGTCCTGTTGAGTGTACAGCAAGACTACACAGTATAAATTCATCACGTAAAAATGTTTGGATTAAAAGGGAGCTTTTGTGTTTTTTTTCTGTATCGGGATCATGGCTACAAGGAGGCAGGCTCCCGTTGAACAAAGCTAAAGGCACATGTTGGACTCAAGCTTCATAAGAAAAAAGGGATCACAGAAACTATAGAGTTCAAGCTGACATTACAGAGTTTTGCCTTGATAAGCCATCATGTTTTCTCAGACGCATGGCCGCAATTTGAAAGGAGCCCATGCTTGTGATTAATGGCACGTTGGGGCATTGGGGAACATGGAAAGACACAAGGTTACTTCTGGGGTCACAAGATAACATGTTCAGTCACAATTCCCACTGTTATGGTATAATGGCATATGCTGTGGTGCAAGGTTACAAGTTAGATAACAAGGCTGCATATCACAACATAACGGGCAAATTATGGCATATAATCGCACCACAAGGCATAATAGCAAAAGAGCAATTGGAAAGTAAGGTAAAAGAGCTGAAATCCAGTGCCCACGAGTTTGAAAAATAGTAAGCATGCTTAGTAAGCTGGCTGAGAGTGGCGGTGCAAGATTTCAAGGCAAGGTTTAGAGGATTAGGTACATTTGCAAACCTCGCAAACCCACTGGCTTGCGAGGTGGCCAGGAGATGACAGTACAGAAAAAAAGGTTAATTAATATTTGTGTGTGTGTCACATATAATCACAGGATAAAAACAAAACAACCCTTGGGAACTTTGTGTCAGCTTTGCTTTAAAAAAAGGCCATGGCTTAAAACGTTAACAAGCTTATTACGGTACAATACTCTATCTACGTGACAAAATAAGTTTTAGCGTGCACAAGCCCTGCAATGGTGCAGCCTCCAATAAGGTCATTAGCAATGTATTCACAGGCACTGAAACTTTTTCTGAGAACACTCACGTATGCATTTATGGATAAGTGAAAATAAAATGCCCTTGGTGGGCAATGTGCAAAATGAAAGGTTATCGTGAACAAAAATATTGCATCAAAGTAAATATTTATTTATGATAGTTGTGGGGCGCAGGGTCATAGCAGAGCTATCACGCGTGGAGGCATAATGCAATTTGACATACATCTCACCATCCAAGGTCACAAAAGAGGTCCTGAGGACATCTGAGGATGGCATAGCAAAGGGTCACCTGGAGGCAACACTGTAATTAGAGACATCTACAATGGCAACACTCGCTGTTATGCAAGCGCGAGCACTGAAAAGGTGTCAGAGATAAAATAATATGTCTCGTATGCCTCGTCTGCCAAGGAAACAGATGCTACACATTGATTTTTTCTTGAATAATTCTTTTGCAGCCTTGCAGGACATCAGCCAAGGAACAAGTCAACCTCTCACATCAACAGGGTGTACTTTCCGTCCATCACATCATATCAAGCTATGGAGAAATCCTACCAGCCCATTGTATAGCACATGTATTTTCACATATAGCCTGGAGAATATAATGTATATATTTTAACGTGCGGTAAACAATATACCTGTAAAAAAAATTTGAGACTCATTTTTTTATAATACCATATTCTTTCTTTGTTGCGTATTTTGTGATAACCAAACACGTACAGACAATAAACAGCAAAATTAAAGGTTTATTTTAAAATTATTTTTTAATGTTGCATTACAGAGAATACGTTGCTGCATTTTTTTATGGTTTAACGTTGGTCCTCAAAGGTCATGTTAGTGATCTAGGTAACTAGCAAATGAGACTATCCTGATCACTTGGATTCTTACAAGGTTAAAAAATATATACTTGATGACTAATATCCAGATGCAGGCAATATGCTCAACATGAAAAGTAAACTAAAGCAGACCATAATGTCAATGAGAGTTTAAGAATATGACCACTTTTCACAAAATCCATTAAGCGGTCAGATATTAAATGCAGTGTACAGCCGGATTACATCAGAACATGAAGAGGAAAGCACCCTCAATTTGCGGGGGGGATGAAGATAACGCCGTTTAACTTAGCAACGCTTAAAGAGAGCTCTTTAACAAGCTGCAAAATGGTGAGTTGCCACAAGCACGTGCACATCCATGTCCACACGCAGGTGCGGGAGGGCGCCACACACACAGACAGACGTCCGTTTCCCATTTAAGCTGCTTACTTTCCAGGCTTGAACCGAGTGCTGAAAGCAAAGCATTAAACATGTTCCCCAATAATGTCTGTGCAATAAGGCATCCTGCTCTAAGAAGAGTACAGGTATGAAATCATGTAATTGTTCTCAAATGGAAGTTCTACGGATTTCCATGAACCCTTAAATCTACAAAAGCACGAACAGGCGGATTATATAAAATTGTGCACATAAAAGATGCACCCTCTGCTTTTCCTCTGCTTAATTTGTCTGGTGCTTCAAGCTGAAATGCAACTATTATCACATTCAGTAAAGTATTGCAATAATTTACAGCCCTTTGCCAATCCACTGCTGGATGAAGGCCTACACTGTTGGCCATGGAGGTTGTTTGACCACAGTTCACCATGCTGGTCAGTATGGATTGGGGAAGGGGGGCCAGGACACATCCAGATCTCACTCGCCACTGGTGTCAGCAGTGCACTAACCACTGTGCCATCACTCTCATCGTAGTTGTAGAATAAGTTTATATCTTTTCCAAACATTTTTTTTTCAAATTTACCAAAAAATGCAATACGTGAGGTATTTGATGTATATTTTCTGTTACATCACACCATAAAGGGCAAGGTCATGAGGCCATTACTTAACTCGTGCCAAGATACAGAGAAACGGGTAACACTAGCCAATAAGAAAAAGAGAGAGCAACATAAGCAACCATGTGCAATGTGATGAACATCTCGCTCCAAGGTAAATTCCATCTTTATGCTGAGCACATTACATGTACTGCTTATTTTGTCATAGATCTATGGTCGTGAGTGAACCGGTGAATTTAAATTGACCTTTTTTTTCCTTACTCCAAGTTAATATATGTGGGACATATGTTCTCGTTTTGGTTAAGTACAGAATCATTTTATAACAAAATATGCCATGGATTTTAGAATATATTTTTTGTACTTAATAATTTTGTCACAGACTAGAGATTGCAAATTTCTAAATCATATACCCATTGGATTATGTTAAACTTTACCATGTTAGCATTGTGTTCTCATGTTTAACATTTGAGCTAAATTTTGATTTAAATACATTTATAAAAAATATAACCACAATATACTCCGTGAATGAGTGTTGTATACAGTACATATACATACCCACACATGGCAATATTAGAACACGTTGAAAACAAGTTAGTCCCCAATAAGACGAATAATTAAATGTCAATGAACACTTTCCCCAAAGACGTTTCAGCGACATTAGCAATCCTTCAAATTAAATGGTTATTTAATGAACAATTTACAGCATATTTAATTTGAATTGACAAGCCCGTACCGCAGATAAGCCAATAGAGTGAGTCAACGCACACTTAACAATACTTCATAGGGTGCTAAACATATGAAAGGTGGGGTTCTTAACTGAAATACTTTGCAAGCTCGTACATTGCAGCACGAATACAATTCGGTATCTTCAAATAACAAAATCACTTATTCACTATGACTTATGAACTGTCTTTATATTGTATGTTTACAGATGTGCACTTAAAATCCATTTGACCAAAAAATACTTATGCTCAGTGCACAGAGTCTATGCGGTCATTTTGTACATGTAGGACAAACATAAATAGACACAATGTCAAACTGCATCTTAACATGCAGCATTTGTAAATGTTAAAAGCAAAACAACTTCAATACTGCAACATGTACGTTGATGAACATATAATTATTAAATCTATATTTCGGGAATCAAACGGCTCAAAGTCAAAACGTGCGCGTTTTCTCGTTAAACAGTGCCGTGCTTACCCAGAAGACCAGGTTGAAGATGAACATGAGATACTTGAGGCAGTAGATGCAGCTCTGGGCCATGTTGCAGCGCTTGAACTCTAGGAGAAACACAAAGGAGAGGTCCAGGTAAAAGACGACGTACTTGCTGGGTCCCTTCGCGAGGCCACGGCCGGTCTCCTTGGCCCCGGCACCCGTGCCAGCTCTGACCCCGGCGAAAGTGGAGCCTGCCGGGCACTGGGCACCGGCCGCGTAGAAGCCACTGTATCGGTGGAACGAGCCTCCGTCCCCGTCCACGTCCCCATCGCCACCTCCCTCGCGCTCATCAAAGTCCTGGCTGTCCAGGGAAGGGCTGCCACTTGGCGTGCCGGCAGAGTCGGCGCTATCCGAGTGATTCATGCCTCGACCGCCGTTCCCACTGCTCCCTCAGGCCTCGCACCGGTGAGCTGGTTCCATCGTCACCGTCAAAGCGGCCCTCAGTCTCCAGCCGGGGACGCCTTCAGGGCCGACCCCGAGGGCGCTCGGGACCGGCGGCACCCGGCGTGAAAATGCGGATGGCGCGGCGATTCGGCACTCCGCATTCCTCCCAACACCCCCACCTCGCTCCCGGAGCTGCAACCTACAGCCCCCTTAAACGCAGCACACACTTGGCCACTCTTGTTGTCACTTTGCAGAAGTGCGCACGACGAGCAGGTAATCCATCAAAGCGGATCCCCACAAAGAGACAGTCTCACGTCCCATTCTTGGTCGTTCCATTCGCCTCTGCTTTAAGTAGACCGCGGCTTGCACAAACGTGGAAAAATGAGATCACTACATCAGTGAGCAGCAGCATGTCCACGCCAGCAAAGCGAGCATCGCTGCCTGTGCCCTTCCTTTCACAGCGCCAGAGGGCTAACCATTAAATAGCTCGCAGCTTTTGCTCATTACTAAGTCTGCATCTCCACCGATCCACCGCTCAGCCGGCGAGGCGGGCATCACTCCCAGAAGGGGATCACTCGCAGGCGCAGAGGATTCTCTCCTCCTCCTCCTCCCTCCTCCTCCCCCCCTACCTTTTCACACAGTCCTCCTCCCCCACCCCACTACCCCGCAACCCATCCCCATCCCACGCTCTCGTCTCTGGCCCCCTGCCTCTCGTGCTTCACACAGCAGCGGAGGTGCGTTGCTCCGTCCGCCCGGGGGCTCCTCCTCCCTCGCCTCGTGCACAGCCAACCGGCGACACATCGACCGAGGGGGCGACACGAGGACCCAATTGTCCCGAAACCCGCTCGCTGCCCACCTTCGTTTGGAGAGTCGTTCCATTCGGCCGCACGTTTATCACAGAGAGAGACAGACATTCTGCCTCGTTTATTGAGTGTTGCGTAAACCTACCCGAAAGTTACATTTCCATGCTACGTTACACCCCACGCAGTGTTTAATATTTGCTGATTTATTACAAGTAGAGGGCATGTGAAGTTTTATTATACGGTAATATATCATGATTAAATTAATGTTTAGCTTTATTTCATATATGAGACGATATGAGGTTCATTGAAGTGTGCTTTTCATAGAGCTTTGCCAGAACACTGAAATGGAATACGAAATTGCTAGAAATCTATAACAGAATGACCTTTTAGGAAAACAGTACTGTACGAGCAGATTCCAGTGAGATATTTTTTTTACCACGGGTATATAAATCCATTTAAACTCATTTGAAATGTGTTTGCTCAGTACTTTCCAATAAAACGGATCATAAGATGGTACATTGGCTTTTCTTCCGTCTAAATATTTGATCACGAATTTTTAAATCAATGCAATGTTTCTAGGTGGAGTTTTTGCTTGTGTATCTATATGTCTGTAGACACAAGGTTATCTGTAAAGCACACTTAAGCCACACAGATCAATGGTTCAATCCACCCACTGAGGGTCCCAGAACAACTGTGTTCAGAATGAAATATCCAAGTAAGCCTCGATTTGCATTAGAAAAAAGTATTTAATAGGAAAACAATATAACCCTGTTTTGTCTGCCCTTGTCAATCCACTGCTGGATAAATGTCTCCCTCCTCACAATATTCTGGATATGAGGTTTTTATTAATTAACAAACTTCACAATGATTGTCAATGCAGGTTGGTGAAATGATATGACTCTCCACTGATGTTAGTCGTAGCCAGGAATCAACTCAGGCTACCAGATGCAGAACACGGTTCACTCGGCCACTGTGCCATCACTCCAACCCCAAGATTTATTTCATTGGTAGAAATGTTACTTTGTTTTAATTGCATGATATATAAAACAATGCATGCACGTACGTATGAATATGTATGTTGAACTTATTTCGCACCGTACGTAGCCAACCGTGCTAATCGGAGGTGCAGGCAGGGGCGGAGCCAGGGGGGGTGACAGGAGGGGTGACATTCTGCGTGTAAGTGTACGACACTCGGTCTGGCGGACTCCGTGCAACTGCATTGTCAGAGTGTGTCGCCAACCGATGGCGTCTAGTTCAGCAGCCTGACTCTCTAAATATTATTGAAATAAAAATGTGTTGAATGTCACCCCGGCCTGAAATCCTGGCTCCGCCCCTGGGTGCAGGCATAGAGGATTCTCCCTGTTTTTGTGTGTGCATATACATGCATTGGAGCCAACATGATATAGTTCCTCACAGACGAATTGCAAACGAGACAGTAATTGCCCCTACATTGTTATGAACCTCAATGCAAAATGGGTAATATAATTTAATTGGTCCTTGAATGCCATTGCATCACAATTCATATAAGAATGTATAATCTGTACATAACGTTTGTCATCAGGTTATGATAATGATAACACATACTAAGAAGGCTACAATGATCTAATGCTAGGCTTGCTATGAAGACAAATGTTATAATCTATCATAGGCGTCAATATTGATGTATTACCATGTATAGTTAATGTATGGTAATGAATCGACATGGGTGCCTCTGTTGAAAACAAATGAGTACATTTGGAATCCAGTTCTTGCCATTTTTTGTAAATTGCCCCATGTGGCTAGATTGTGTTACCCCAAACATAACATTCCTCTAAAATGTTCCAAAGGGTACTCAGAAAAAATGGGTACAGATTTAACATTGCTTGTAGGAAGGCATCATCAACCTTTTTAACACAAGAATAATGAATAGTAAATTAGAAACAGAATGCCATCAGCTGCCATTATGCGACAGACATTCATGTACAGCTTCTCTTGCAGAATCCGATGACGAATCTTCTTTGCTGTCATTATCCTCAAGGACTTTGTCCTCCCAGGTGCAAGAATGCATACCGTGACATTTCCTGCAAATACCCCCCCCCTTTTTTTCTGTGGTCGCACTGTATTCATATTGAGACAATGCCAAGGCTGGGGGTTGGCAGTTTACTGTCATTTTGCACCGAAGTCCTTCATTACAAATCAGCAATTTCCATTATTTTACTTTTTCATTCCCATTTCCCCCTAAAAAAAAAAAGAGATACATTTATTTTAAATAAAAATGCCAATATTCCTTATTGTGCCCTTTTCTGACTGCATAGGGATTGATGGTGAATGGCATGGAATCATAAAATCATGGTTATGCGCAATACAGTACAATAAAGTCTTATTTTAAAATGTTCACGACAAAACAATAACGCTGCTGAAATGCAGATAATAACAAATTGTAGCCCTTTTGTGAGTCCTACTGCTGTGTAAAGGTCTCTCCAAGACATTAACTTGCAACGCTGTTCCGCTGTTGTCTGTCAGCCAAGTTGCCCTTGAATAACAGCCGCGTAGCTCAATGGGTTTCACTCTGGAAATAAACTTCTGACATTTTAGGCATGGGGGGTTTCACCCACAATTCACCACACTGGTCAGTGTGAGTTGCTGGGGTGGGGGGGCAGAACTCTAATTGCCACTTATGTCAGCCACGGCCAGGAAAATAACTCAGGTTTCCAGGTTCGTACTGCAGTGCTCCCTCAATGTTTAAGCAAAGGGCAATTAGCCTACCGAACATAGTCCAGAAGGAGAGGATAACATACATTTGTCAATATCAGTTAATTTGTCCCAATTCTTAAGTGATCAAGAATCACATCATATCCATATTGTCAACCTATACAACACAATGATATATCAGTAATCGACTTACGGACACAATTAGTTTCTGAGACCCGTTCGTAAGTAGGAATACAGTAAACGACTGTATATTTAAATGCACACACACACAAAACACTCACTCCCAGCACGAGATTGACTCATTACATCTCACGGAGGATTGATCATCGGAACAAAATAGTGCTGCGGTTCAATTTGCAAGTGAGAGTTCGCGTTTTAAGTCAATCTAAAAAAAAATATTTCATGGAAGCAGGTTCGTAAGTGTGGGTGTTGGTTAGTCGAGTGTTCGTAAGTCGAAGACCGCCTTCCAATACAATTTGGCTTTATAAAATGTCTAAATGCAAGCGCATCTCAATACGCTTATGATGAATCATACTTGCAGTGTGTGGGGCATTTAATGTATGAAACAAAACACCTCTGCTAAAAACATGCGCAACATATGAGCAATTGGAAGTTTTATTGTCTTCTGAGCCTCAACAGAATGTACATAGAAACAATTATAAATGGATATTATTTATGAACTTAAGGCCCCCACAGTTTGTGGCCACTGCATGGCTCTATATTCCAATGCATTGTATTTGACCACAATCCTCTGAATTAAATATTTGTAATTGTGTTTTCATGATTGGCATGCATAATTTCAGCTCGAACATCATGGACACCGTTCCGGAAATTATCTTGGCACGCAACATCCATCTGACTGTCTCTTGTCCTTTTGGATACTGCAGTGGTGTGTGTGGTGATTTAACAACCAAAAAATGTACATGGGTACTGTTTAGCGTTACCAGATGCTCTTAGGGACAGTACGAGGAGTATTATGGATAAGCGTAACTTTTATTCTCGTGTTAGTGCCTAACGCAGATAATCCCTACTCGAAACCATCCTGGCAACATCCGAGAAATTGTTAGGTGAGAAATTAAGCCTGGACGTGATAACTCATGCCTGTCCAGCTGAGCTGCGAAGATACTGGATGAAACTGGGCCAATGGAGGGTCATAGAGTGCAGCTTACAGAATTGCAATCATTTTGGATTCCGTTTGGCACAACAGCAAAGATTTCATATTTCCCTTGAGTACACCACAAAGTTCCCTGGCTTCATTTGGTTTAATTGCTAGCTCAATGAATGGCAATTTTTACCTGTATTCAAGAACAATGCTTGTGAATATTAATGCACAGACTGCTCTTATTAACATCAGCAAATCAGCTCTGCCTTTGATTAGTTGTAATATAAATGCAATTTAAGTTTCAATTTATACTCGTTGAAGAGATCAAATATGATTTTAAAGGCTTAAAATAAAATTATGTAATTGTAAATACTGTATTACAAATACAGTAGCTTATATCCCCCGTAATTGCAATTCGCTCAAACAACATTACAATTAGTTTCAAGACAATTTAAACAAAAATGTACAATTAGCACAGGGTATGCACTGGTGGATACAAACCATTCTGCAAGAATTTTATTTCACTTATGCAGGTCACCTACTGAGAACACAATGAAGGCACTAATGAAGTTACCTTCTGGCTTAATATGCTGTAGGCAATGAAAAGTTGATCAATGTGCACTTTCAAATGTGAAGAAGTTATATTTACAAATGGTGTAAAGCATCACCGAAATAATCAGTGGCACCAATTCTACAGTTTTAAACAGTTTCATCGTTCATTTTGTGCTTTTTCTCTCTCAATCATATACCAATTATACCAGTGCATCGTATCAAGAGGTGAAAATACATCTTCTGTACAACTTGTGTAGCAAACAGAACAGCACCTCTGGTCAGAATGGTTCTAGAATATGACATCAGAATTACTTTGATGTTACCTCAAGACTCGTAATTATCTACACTGGGAGCAAACTCTTTTATACTAGCCTTTTGTCCGCCCAAGGACGGGTGTATTGCAATAAATCTGAAACTTGCACGCGAAAATCAGACCGCGACGTGATATTGCATCCATTCGTGTGCAA